TTTCTGATTGCTTGACATACAAAATACAGTCACATATGTCTTCAATGATGGGCTTAATTTGGGAAAGCCCATCTTGAACCATGAGATTCAATATGTGTGTCGCACACCGCACATGAAACAACCTCCCACCACACTTTAGCTTCTTGTTTCTTCCTAAATTCTCCCTCAAAATCTTGATTGTCGCGTCATTACTTGAACCATTGTCAACCGAGATACTAAACACCTTGTTCTCAATTCCCCATTCAATTAGACACTTATGAATAGCAGCAGCAATCTCAACACTAGGTCGAGGAGCCGGTATATGAACAAAATTGAGCACACGCTTCTGCAACTTCCAATCATTATCAATAAAATGTCCAGTGAAAACCATGTACTCAAGCTTCTGATTAGAAGAATTCCATATATCAATTGTCAAACTAATCTTGTTAATACTCTTAAGCAAATTAACCGACTTCTTCTTTTGTATCTCATACACAGTCACACAATGTTGTTTCAAAGCAGTACACGTTATCTTGTCCCATTGTGGCATACCACATCTTTGCATCATGTTAAAACCCTCCTCTTCCACAACTGTAAATGGGTGCTCATGCATGAGCACCCAGTTAGCAGCTAGTTCCTGCATCTTGCTCATATCAAAGTTGGCATCTAAAAATGCAAGTGCAGAATGCATTGACATTTCATCTGTTAAACTGGCTAGCCGAAAAAACAATTGTGTTTGCCTTTGACTACCTATTCGCTTCAAACATGATTTCAAATGTCTTGCAAACTAAGTTGTGCTCTTGGTCTCCGTTATTGCTAGCTTTGCCTTACAATGAATACACTCTCCCTTTGTAGAACCATCCGGTAGAACTACCTCTTTAAATTTATTCCAAACTGCTGATGTCTTTGGTCTCTTTTTCCTCTAAAAATTATTAACTTGCTCCTTGTCAGTATGAAGGGTAGAAGCATCAACACCATCATCAGGTGTGCCTATGGGTGTGGCATCGTCATCAGACCAGATTTTAAAGATATCTTCTACTGGTTGCATTCGTGAAGTGGAAGGGTGTGTTCGATTGGGGGTGAATGACAAATGCTCCATTGGAATAAATAAATCCCTCTGCAAAAAGTATATAAAGTCAAAAACATTAAGCCAAAAACTGAACAACGTTTTTCGCTATTTAAAACTGTGCTACAAAGCATTATTTATATACTCAAAATTGGAGGGGAATTTAGTTAACAGTGTCATTATTTTAAAACTGTGCAATAAATGGTTAAAATTGACTAGAAGAGTTCATCCTCTTGTTTCCTTGAATCCTCTTGTTTAAAACTGTGCCGATGGGTTTGGTGATTGTGTTGGGATGGTTAATAGCTGTTGAGAGTTACCAAATATTGTGTTAGCTGGTGCAATTGCAGTCAGAATCTGTATATATAAAGGGCAGTATAGTGGTATGCTTGATACTTTTTTCTTTTGTATTCTAGATGGTTATTTTGGTGATTATGTAGATCTGAAATTTACTGGGGTTTTGTTGCACTGGTTAGAATGGACAACAGTTGTATATGGATGTTTATATTTTGATTTTTGTTGTCATTGTATAGGGCTAGGAGTGCAACAGAATGGATCATTGCTTATATGTTTTTCCCCTGCTTTTGCTTGTGATAATAGTGTTAAAATCTTATACAACAGGAATTTGTTTTTTGTCTTGGGATTGTGGGTTTTACAGACTATTTTTGTAGTGCTGAGTTCAGGGAGCAACATGTTTTTTGCTGGTTTTGTGGATACTGCTTTCTGTGTAAAGGGTCTGCTGCTTTTTCTTTTTATCATTTTAACAGAGTATAAGTCCTGAACTCCTAATTAAGGTACTGACATTCATAGCTCACTACCTCTACAACTACAAACATATATTCAACTCTAAAACTACAAACATCTATGTATAATAGTTCTAACTTTTAAAAAATCTGAAGGTAGGCTGGACATATATATTAATAATAATTTTTTGGGGCCTATGTATTAGCAATTGTTTTTAAAAATCTGAGGGTAGGCCTAACCCTCAAAGGGGTTGGGTCTGACCTTGAGTTTATACTCTTTTTTTTTTTTTTTAATTAGGATGTTGTAATATTAATTTTATCATAATCATGTTAAATCAATGTGAGGTTCTTAATAGTAAACTATTATTTGAGTTCTTATTTATATAAGATCACTTAATTTCAAATATTTAAGAACAGTTGTGACAGAATTAATATTAGAACGTCTTGAAAAGAAAATTTCAATTTACTAATATTGGTAACAATGTTTGTACAAACGGTGGGGAGTTGGGGTGAGTGAACGTACGCAGTAATGGAAGGCGTTGAGCAGTCCATATATAGTCCAGCTGTAACTCTTTCAATTTGTAGTCTCCTTTTAAAATAATTATAAAAAAATATATATATATGTGAAGCTCATGTTAAATGCATGTGCAACAAAATGAAAGAAACGAATTATGTGGATACTATATGTTACACTTGGCATATTTTCAAGACAAACGTTCACTCTCTCACCAATCACTATTGTCAAGGTTTACTCCTTTCATTTTATAACATTAGTCTAGATCCATATTTTAAAAATTAAACGAAAACATTGTACAGATCTGGAATAAAAACATTTGTACGTAAAGGTTTTTGAATAATATTCTGAACTGTCTCGTGGGTATAGTAATGAATGATCTATAAATCATTAATCGGAACCAATAATTTGAGATAAAAAATTTGGTATCATTAAATTTTATGTATTGATTTTGTTAGTTACCATTATTTCTATCAAATAATATAACAATACAAATTAACAATAAGCATCATATGCCAATTTTAAATAAATTTTAATGTTATAAGAAACGTTAAAAATATATAAATTAATTAGGCTCGTTTGTTAATGGGCTTTTTTTTAATATATAGTTTTATTTTTATACAGTGTCTTATTTTTTGAACCATGCAGTCTTGAAAATGTAAACTTATAGGATATACGTTGCTGATTCTAATACAATTAATATTATATGTATGAATCAATTTATTATTGTCTGGTTAAAAAATGTAATTCAAATTCAACTATGGATCTCTTATTTAATTTCAGCTGAAAACCACCAACAATTGCGCCTTTGAAATTAATTGTAAACTTATTAATTGATTAGTCTTTTCAGATCCATTTATTATATTAAAGTGATTCTTAATTCATTTGCAAATAAATTAAACATTTTATTTTAGCATCATGTACAATTATTTAATAGAGCAAAAATATAACTTATATCATATAAAAGGCCAGGAAGAAGTCTTTAATTGATGGTAAAAATTGCATTAATTACTATCGTATGGTCATATTAATTTGATGAATTTTGTTCTTATTAACATTTACAGATTATTTAATTAAGTGATAGGGTATATTTAAATATAAGGAAATTATTGCAGTATTTAATTTTTACCACAAATGTCATAACTTGCTTTGCCTAAAAAATATAATAGAGCATTAATGTGAAGCTTAGAAACTAACAAAGGAATTAAGGAAGGTGGTGAAACCAAATTTGGATGATATGTTATTTATTGGATAATTAATATTCTCATTAATGGGAAATTTGCACATGAAAGGTCTTTGAATTTTAAAGCCGAAAGCATTTTTATTTTCTTCCAAAACATTTAAACCCATTTTTCATTTAAAAATGACTCAATAGAAAAAGATAAATAAAATTTTTAAATAAATAAATGTAGCATGTTTTTTATTGATTAATTGAGTATATTGAGGAGCATCAATGATTATTTTTTTTAATACATAACAAGATTGAAAAGACTATTGCCAGTATGATATAAATGCAAAGATCACCAAACTAAATGGCAAAGTATTATTATATGGTTGATGATTTAGTAAATTATAGGTGACATTATTAATTATAATTATAAAAATAATAGTACACAATTTTACTCTGCATCAAAAATAATTATTGGCCTCTCAATCTCGCCAGCAATTGTACCCTTTTCATTAAATACGGCATATCCCTTTTGCCTTTGATTTAGTTTTTTTGTATTAAACAAATAATCAAATAGGGAGAAATTTGTAACTTAATAAAGAAAAGGTGTCTGAGCTGTAACACATATGGAGAACTCAATCAGAAATTTTTCTGAAAATAATTTAATATTTCACTGTTCATACTGTAGATGAATTTATTTATTTATTTTGTTATTAACAAGTAATTTCCTGAATTTATCCCTGGGATAAAAAATTGAAAGGTTCAGATTTTTCTTTTTGTTTTATATAATCATAAAGAAATAGAAAACTGCGGCTGTTTCTGCAGCCCAGCATGGTAGTTTTTTCTCTGACTCTGTCGTTTTCATTTACACTTAACAAATAAATAAAAAATATGCATTAATGAAATATTAAACTAAATTAGATTTCCAAAATGGGAATTTTTTGTATTCTTTTCAAGCGTCAATTGACTGATTTTACTTATTTTTAATATATTTTATGTAAACCTCTCATTTTGTTGGTGAGAGGGTTAATAGAAATAAACAAATTGAAGAATAAAAGAGAGAGAAGAAATCAAATACAGAGAGAGTTTATATAAGTGGGATTGTTGCCTCTCATTCTTGCTTGCTCTTCCTGTATTTTTTATTTTATTTTTTTCACTCTTCTCTTCGTTTTCAAAACTTGTACACATACATTGTTCTGCTTCTGTTTTTACGGAAGCAGAAAAAAAAGCTTTTAGTTTTCAGAAAGATTGTTCCCATTGGGCTTTCAAGTTGAGGCTTTTGTTGATGTTAATGTAGTAGTTTTCTTGTTAATGGGTTTGTTCTAGTTTTTATTTAAGTCTCCAGTGACTGACATTCCAGCTCTGCTTCCATTGTTTTGCTTGATTCCGAAGCAAAATCACTGATCAAAAGAAGAGATATTCCACCTCTTTTCCCACAGAAACTCCTTTAAAATCCATGCAGATCTAGTGGGATTACCTTCACATTTGCTTCTCCTCCGTTCTTCAGCACAAAATATTTCTCAAAAAACCATAATGGATCAGTTTTCTACACCATCTTTTATTCCTGAATCGTTTCAAGGCGCTGGAAATGACATAACAATGCAACTGACATTGTTTTGGAGTCAGATCAGAGCGCCATTGATAGTTCCATTGTTGAAACTTTCAGTGGCTATTTGTTTGACCATGTCGATTATGCTATTCATTGAAAGGGTTTATATGAGTATTGTCATTGTTCTGGTGAAGTTGTTTGGCCGCAAACCTGAGAAGAGATACAAATGGGAGCCAATGAAAGACGATATCGAGTTGGGTAACTCAGCTTATCCAATGGTCCTGGTTCAAATCCCAATGTACAACGAACGAGAGGTCATTTTCTTTCCCATCCTTCCGTTTTCATTACTCAAATCTAATCTCTCTTTTATACACAAATCTAATTTTACATTTTATTATAATGCAGGTTTATCAGCTCTCCATTGGTGCTGCATGTGGCCTTTCTTGGCCGTCCGATCGGATCATCATTCAAGTTCTTGACGATTCCACAGACCCAACAATAAAGGTAATACAAATATAAAATAATGTGTAATAATTTAATAGATAAATTGATTTGTGAAGTGGGATTTTATTTAATTTGAATAAAAATGCAGGACTTGGTGGAGCTAGAGTGCCAAAGATGGGCGAGTAAAGGGATAAATATAAAGTATGAGATAAGAGGAAACAGAAATGGGTACAAAGCGGGGGCTCTAAAGGAAGGGATGAAGCGTAGCTATGTAAAACACTGCGATTATGTAGCCATTTTCGACGCTGATTTCCAACCGGAGCCTGATTTTCTCTGGCGCACCATTCCTTTTCTTCTTCACAACCCTGAATTAGCCCTGGTTCAAGCTCGCTGGAAATTTGGTACGTAAAATCTTTCTTAATCCTATAATTTTTTTATTTTTATTTTTATTTTTGGAGGATATCATAAAACACCGTTCAGGTTCCTAAAATGATCATTGGGTGATAATTTTCACAATTTTTTATTGAACGAACTCAAAATCTGAAAATTGTGTCATATATCTTAATTCTATTATGTTACAGTTTGTGTTAGATTAGTGAAATGATAACTTTGATCTTATAAAAAATATATATGATCATTTTCTTTTTTTCTTTATATTTCTTTACTCTTAAATGAGACAAACAATCCGACATCTATAATAATCATATACTAACAATATCATACCATATATAACAATAAACTTAATTAAAATAAAGGGAATTTAAACCTATACTTAATTGAATTTGGGAATAAGAAATAAAAATTTCGACTGAATTTTATATATGTGGGCTTATTGGTAAGTGCGAACCTTCTTTAATTTAGAATCTAAGATAGATTTTGTTTAGTAAATAGTTTTTGTAGTAAACAGGAACAGTTACAAAAAATAAAAGCTGTCGGTGGGGGAATTCACCTTCAAGGTGGTGGTCCACTCTCATGGATCTACAAGAGTCTAATGCCTTGCTGGATTGCCCCATCTTTGCCACGTTCGCATATTCCATTGGGTTTCTACTCCATGGGACCCACATCAAGACCAAACCCAACTGGGAAATCGTATATAAAAGCTGAAATGTCATGTTCAGTGTCGTTTAGGTCTTTTGTTTAATCTGCTTTGCCTGACACATTTGAAAGACTTGAACGTGCTCTTACAAAAAGTCAATAATTAAGCTACTTTTTTTTATGTACATGTGGCATAAGCGATGGTCACTGGGGTTCAAGTAACAAGAAATTTATAATTAAATTTTCTCTCGTTTGAATAAGTTCTCATTAGAATTAAGTGATGGTCACTGGGGTGGGTCCTTGGGCTATTCTATGCTCAATCTCTTCATTGAGGGGCACATATGTCTTCTTCCTGAAATAGGCAGCCGGCAGCTGCATGTGCAAAATTAATGGTGGACCTCGTGTTGAAATCACTGTGTAGTGTGTATTGCGTTTATTTCTAATCTTCACTAACCGACACTTGATTTGATTCGTTTTTGATATCATTATTTATTATGGTGTTTGTACTACAAAAGATCATAGCCAGTGCCAGCTAGTGAAATGGCGTTTGTCTTTTCTTTTTGCAGTGAATGCTGACGAGTGCTTGATGACAAGAATGCAAGAAATGTCTTTAGATTACCATTTCACTGTGGAGCAAGAAGTGGGGTCTTCCACCTATGCCTTCTTCGGCTTCAACGGTATGCTATCGCCCCACCCTTACCAGTAATGTTACTGCAACTTTAAATTACAGTTGAATGAACACTGTTCATTCTTTGTCATTCTAATAATGGTTAATAAAAACCTTATGTTCCAAATTCAGGACTAATTTTGTTTATTTGATGCCTCTGTTTGAAAAGTATCGGAAAGCCCCCAAAGGTGAGCTTAAGTGGAAATGAGCTTATTTAATCCCAGCAAAATTTCGGGTTTGAGTCTCTGCCACTGACCTTTGGTGAGGTGGTATATCTACGTTCCGTACCCCACCCGCGGAGATACCCTTAGCTTTGCCCTGACATAGGTGCGGTAGAGGCAATTTCTTATGTGTGTGGGGAAAGAGCGTAATGCTCCCTACCAGATATGGATCAACCCCTAAAAGAAAGAAGTATAGGAAAACACAGTAATGTGAACAAGTATAGGAAAACTTTTAGAACTCAAGCTAAGGGAGAACCTAACATAAAAGACCGGTCTGATAGGTGAGAGAGCCCTTAGGCTTAAGTACCACACTTGGTGGATGTGAGATCCCGATGTGGGATCCTAACATTGCAACCCCTTTCAAGAGCCGACGTTCATGACGGCTTTCACTCTATTAAAACTGACCTGATAGTAGCTCTTTCCCCCTTTGGACGGCTTCACTCATCTATTAGTTGTTCGATGCAGCACCCCCTCCCAAGGAGAGCACACTGCACCTTATTCTAGCCTATAGATAGTCTTTTCCGCAGCCCAACTCTCAACGAAAACACCAATATTAGAACTCAAGCTCAAGGGAGAACCCAACCTAAAAGACCGGTCAGATAGGTGAGATATCTTTAAGCTTAAGTACCACATTTGGTGGGTGTAAGATCCTAATATGGAATTCTAACAAAAACACAGTAATGTGACTTTTAATGTCAATTGTCAAAGAACTATAGGAACATGAATTTTTTTTTTTCTTGAATACAAATTGGTAGTTAATGGCAAATGAAATATTTGGATATGATACAGGGACAGCAGGTGTGTGGAGGATTGCTGCTCTAACTGAGGCTGGAGGATGGAAAGATAGGACCACTGTTGAAGATATGGATTTGGCAGTCCGAGCAAGTCTCAAAGGCTGGAAGTTTGTATATCTTGGTGATGTAAAGGTACTTCACATATAAGTCTTTTATATGAACTATTTCATTTTTCAAACTATTTGCTTATTGTTTCTGTTCTTTACTTAAATCTGTATAGTTTGTTTCTGAAAGTATTTGAGTTGTTTAGTGTCATCTTTACTATAGGTGAAAAATGAACTGCCAAGTACTTTCAAGGCTTATCGGTATCAACAGCACCGATGGTCTTGTGGTCCTGCAAACCTTTTCAGGAAAATGGTGATGGAGATTATCAGAAACAATGTAAGTTAATTTGAAGTTTGTTTTTAACTTCATTTGGTAGGAGGAAATGATGATTTGTTTCTAATCTTGTAATTTAGTGACAAATTCAGGAACCGAAATGAAATCAAATTAGTAGCTTAGACTTTATTTTCATATGTTCATACAGAAAGTATCTTTGTGGAAGAAGGTTCATGTGATCTATAGCTTCTTTGTGGTGAGGAAGGTCGTAGCACACATTGTCACATTTATCTTTTACTGCGTTGTATTGCCGGCAACTATTGTTGTCCCTGAAGTTGAGGTTCCAAAGTGGGGTGCTGTTTATATTCCTGCCGTTATTACCATTCTCAATGCTGTTGGAACCCCAAGGTCTGGTTTTCATGCAACTTAGTTGTTTTTTCATGTAATTGTATGACTCTTTTCAATAGTTCAAATTCCATTTACATTTGATTTGCTGGTGCGTATGCAAATCAGAGGAGAAATTTGTTTCGTTTAAGACTTTTATTTGGGAACTAGCTTCTTGATTTAATTTTTTGTGTCAACTGCAAACAATTCTTCATGGTAAATTGATCTTGCTTTGAAGAAGAAATTTAACAGAATGTACCCTCATTTGCAGACAACACTCTTCTAAGAAGCCCTCAGCTATCATTGCTTTTCTGTGATCTATTTTCATGCTTGCAGGTCACTCCACCTAATGGTTTTCTGGATCCTTTTTGAAAATGTCATGTCGCTGCACCGAACAAAAGCTACCTTTATTGGCCTGATGGAAGGTGTTAGAGTAAATGAGTGGATTGTTACTGAGAAATTAGGAGATGCCCTCAAGTTTAAAGCAGGAAGCAAAACACCCAGGAAACCTCGATTCCTGATTGGAGACAGGTAAAATTTCGCAACCTGGAACTGCCATAAGCTGCATATTACTGCAGGGTAACAAACTCATGTCTAACTTCTCATTGTCATTTCATGTTTATACGTTGACAGAATCCACATGTTAGAACTTGGAGTTGGAGCGTTACTATTCTTGTGTGGCTGTTATGATATTTTCTTTGGCAAAAACCTCTATTTCCTTTACCTTTTCTTGCAAGCCATTGCATTCTTCATCGCGGGTTTCGGTTATATCGGCACCTTTGTCCCCCACTCTTAGTATGATTTCCGAGTTAACGGTTAATGTAATTCTTTCGGCCATCTTGGCCTTTAGCAGGGTCATTCTCTTCTTCTGCAACATTATAAGTGGCGTTCTTTGTGATAGTTTCTGTATAAAAAGAAAAGAGGTCATTCTTTTTAGGTTGAGCATAAGAATTGGAGTCATCAATTTAGTTTATCTTGTGAATATCTGAGAAAACCAAGGAAGTTACATAACAAAGCGTTGTCAATTTATACAAAGAAGATAAGGATCAAGTGAAGACAGCTATGGTTTCAGACCCCAAGAAGATAGAGGAACATTTTGGAATGAATTGTTTGAGATTGTAAGAATTGTAGATTTTTTTTTTTTTTTTCTTCTTTCCGTTTTTGTTGTTGCTGGAATTGTTTGAGGGAATAAATTGACAGGAAATGGGTGATTTCAGAGTTAAATTTCTTTTCGTCCAAATTACGCATTTAGATCTTTCACTCAACAAAAACTTGGAACTTCTATATTACCTTTTCAACTACATTGCATGGAGTTGAAACTGAAAACCATGTGAATACAATTTCGTTACAGGATAAATACGTACACATAATCTCTAGCCAAAATATAACTTCATTGTATATTTACCCTCTTTTAATTTGCATATTCAATACAAATATGCACAAAAATCAAAACATTTTAGCAGGAACCTTTGTCTATCTACTGAAGCTTTTTATTTAAAAATAGAACCAGACACCAATCTGAAATCTTATCAATGAGCTCGGTAACTGCCTCTAAAATTGGAATAAGAGTATGGAATAAAAATAATATGGTTTTTTGGTCGGGCCTTAGACAACAACGATTGGGCCAGCACTTCTTACCTGGTGAAGTGGGCTTGGGCTTTCAACAGAAAAGGTCTCTTGGGTCTAGTGAGAAGTGATATTTACTCCTCCCCTTGATTTGCTCTTCAGCCCCAATTAACTATTAAGGGACATAATAGTAATTAAAAATAGTTTGTAGATTTTTTCTTAAATTCTGTTAACTTGGATCGATCAAATATCAAATTCTAATATAAACATATTGCGAACAAATGTTAAATATGAGTTATCACTAATTGCTAAGGCGTTTTAGTGCGGTGGAATGGGCTTATATATACCCGCACTCCTTTGTAAATGAAGGATCTCCTGCATTGCCTCATTCTTTGTAACCTTATGCAATGTATAATATCAGTTTAGTCCCTCAATATCTATTTATCTTATATCTTCTCTTTTACTTAAAAATCCCTCATATTATATACCCTTGAATCATGATATTGATTATTACATAACAGAACTACTATTTACAAAGAAAAATATTCTTCCTCAATATTTTTCATGAACTTAATCAAGGTATAATTCATGGCACAAAAGCAAGATAATTACCTCTTCAATTTTTGAGTTTCTGATCCTCAGTATGAGATTGAAGATTAAATATACCTCAGCTTTGAAAATACGTACTTTTCTAGTTGGCAAGTTGTCTAGTGGAATAAAAATAAGTTTGCTTCAGCCATATTTCTTAGGATCGGTCTTACTTGATTAATTTTTCAGACTTTCACAAAGCCTTTAAGTTGTTAGGATAGTTTTCTTTTCAAAAGCGTTCTAAATAAAAGAATAATTATAGATATAAAGATAAAATTACATTTATATCTTAGTTTAAATTAGTGATGGGGTTTAAAGATAAAAATATTTGGGAGCTAAAAATCACATCCCTTTAAGCAAATCAGGCTGGCCTGCAAAATTAAGAGGGTTAAGAAAAGGGCCAGCAAGGTGTTTACTGGTTTGTGAATGACGAGTTCCTCCTCAATTTACGGTCGTGGACTTTGATATGATGGGACATGTGTATCACACTAGTGGTGGTACAGGTGCACGGGTTCGATTATCCGGTTCAAATCTTAGAAACCGAAACCGTATAGCATCGGTTCATCAGATCTAGGAACCAGAACCGGAGCAGTACTATGCAGTTTCTAAATCTTATAAACCGGAACCTCTCCAGTTCTAGGTACCTTATACTGTTCGCAGTCAAACAATCAAACAACTCCACTAAAAAGTCAACCAAAATCAATATCAAACTCAACCAGTCAACCACAAGTCGCTCGAGGTGGCAGTGAAGGTGAGATGGCGCTAGATAGTGGGAAGGTGGAGATGACGACTGTTTGGATGAGAGATCATGTGCGATGGCGCGGCTATTTGGAGAGACAGTCGCGGGGCAGGTGATGGCGTGCGCTGGTGGGTTTAGTGGCTGATGGCAGGTGTGGCAATGGTGTAGACTGCGTGCAAGGAGATGCGAGCAGTCGCGCGATGATGATGGAGGCGTGATCGATCACAGAAATGCAGGCACGGATCGCACAAATGCAGGCGTGATCGATCGCACAAATGCAGGGGCGATCGATCGCACAATAGGCAGGACAGATGCGAATTGACCCAACGACTCAGAGATAGCTTCTCCTGCGCAAGCACAGTCGCATGACACGAGAGGCAGACGCGAAGAAGAAGCTGCAAAACGACAGAGCAGACAGAAAAACTGCAACGGCGCAATGGGAACTTGTGGAATATTAGGTATGTAATATAATGCGGAATTTAATCACTTACCTCCGGCCATATGTTCAAGTGTATTGAATGATTTATGAGTGAATATTTGAAAGATGTCTTCTAGCCTATGCCTCCAGAATCTTTTCTTTCTTTTAATTTTCGTGATATCACTTTGATGGAGAAGATGATATCTTTATATATGGCTAGGCTAGAGACCAAGTAACTCTCACAACTGCCTTTTAACCTCCCATCAAAGATCAAAAGAGACAGTTAATAACTTTTTAAACCCACTTGAACTGCATAATGTGACATGTGGCCACATCAAGTCTTACATTCTCCCACTTGGCCTCATGCCGCAATTTGGAAAAAATACTATAATGTGATTAATCCGAATATGGCCATAATAGAGTTATAGCAAGCATTACTTACATAAAAGCTCAATACATGAATGATGGCGGTCATATCCTTTAAATCGAACACTCTTCCATCTATTACAATGCATGATATTTATATAAGTATTTTATGAGTTTCTTAAATTTATGAATGAATTCTATAAGTATTCGTGGTCACTCTATTTTGACATTTAACTTATGTGCACAAAAAATGTATAGATAAACAGTATATGTCAAAATATCTGAATAAGGTCATAGATACAAATGTAAAAGTTAACTTATACATCAAATGAACTAACTAGTCCATACGATCACATAGATCCTTAAATACTTTAACCGGCAATCCTTTGGTCATGGTATCGGCGACCATTAATTCTGTACCGATGTGTTGGATATCCACTTTTTGCTCTTTAACATGACCTCTAACTGAAAGATATTTTTATCTATATGTTTGTTGCGACTACTACTTTGTTGATTCTTTTAGAAGAAAACGGCAGTGAGTTATCACAATAAATCTTTAATGGCCTTGCAATAGAGTCGATAACTCTTAAACTAGATATAAAATTTCTCAACCATAAAGCTTGTGATGTAGCCCATAACACGCAATATGATTTGCTTCCATTGTAGATGTTGCTATTATATTTTACTTAGTGGTTTTCCAAGATATAGCACCGTTAGCAAGCATAAATATATATCAGAAGTAGACTTCTTAGAATCTTTATATCCACCAAAATCAGAGTGTATACCCAATCACCTCCAAATGATCAGAGTGTTGATGTAAGCATGTAATCCTTGGTTCCTTGTAAATAACGCATAACTTTCTTGGTAGCTTTCCAATGTTCAAGGCCTGGGTTACTTTGTATCTACCCAACATTCCTACTGCATAACCTATGTCAGGCCTGGTACAAACTTGAGCATACATGAGTTTCCCCACCGCTGAAGCATAAGGTATTTTACTCATCTCCTTGAACTCCAATGAGTTATGGACATTGTTCCAAACTGATTCATCTCCTTTTAATAATAGGAGCTGGTGATGGTGAAAAATTTTGCATTCGAAAACTTTCCAAAATCTTTTCGATGTGAAGTCTTTTGACATAAACCTAAAAACCTTCTACAATATCTCTGTGAATCTTTATGCCAATGACATAAGAGGCTTCACCCATATCCTTCATCTCAAAATTTTGAGAAGAAATCTTTTGGTGTCATGAAGTAGACCCAAATCACTGCTTGCAAGTAAAATATTATCCACATATAGAATTAAGAAGATAAACTTGCTCCCACTTGTTTAAGATAAACACATTGGTCCACCTATTCTCAATGAAATCAAATGAAATAATAACATTATGAAACTTTGTGTACCACTGACAGGATGCTTGCTTAAGTCCATAAATGGATCTTTCAACTTGCATACTAGCTTATCCTCATTACAAAAACCTTTGGCTGTTTCATGTATACCTCCTCATCAAGATCTCCTTAAGAAGGCTGTTTTCACAATTTGATGTAACTCCATATCAAAATGAGCTACTAATGCCATGATGATTCTAATGAATCTTTCTTTGAAACTGGAGAAAAGGTGTTCATTGTAATCAATGCCTTCCTTTGTGTGAAACCCTTGGCCAACAATCTTGCTTTATATCGTTTATATTACCATAAGCATTCTTTGGTCTTATAGACCCATTTACAACCAATGGTTGTTGCTCCTGGTGGTAATTCGACGAGTGCCCAAACTTGGTTTTTGGCCATTGATCCATTTCTTCTTTCATGGCATTATACCAAGGAGGGATTTTTCTCATCCATGGCTTGTGAAAATGAAGTGGGGATCTTCATTTAACTGACCATCAAATCAGTATTTTGAGGGTATACATATAATCATTAGAAATCGCTGGTTTCCTTCTCTGAAGATCTTCTTAATTCAACTGTTTCATCCATAATATCTTGATTTTGGACAATAGTATCATTATTAGCTGATCTTCATGATGCGACTGATTAGGAATTGTTCATCTTGAGTCAATTGATCTTCTAAATTAACTGAGTGATCATTTTGAACAATAATCAATTGATTATCTTGAAAAGTGAAATCGGTTCCTTAACTTCTCAAAAGTACTTTACGAGGAATGTCACTCCCATTGAATTCAAGATCTCAAGGAATTTTGCGTTTCTAGCTTCGACAATCATAGGTGCGTGAGAAGGACAAAAGATCTGAACCCTTTAGAATTCATTGGATAACCAATGAAATACCACTAACAGTTTTTTGGTCCAATTTCTTAACATTTGGATTATAAACCTTTACTTCTGCGGACAACCCAAATGTGTAAATGCTTAAACTAGGTTCCAACCCACCCATAATTCAAAAGGAGTTTTTGGAACTGCCTTTGATGGAACCCGATTTAAGATATATACTGCTGTCTTAACGCCTCACTCCAAAAATTTAATGGAGATGGAGGTACTAAGCAACTTTTACCATGTCCATAAGAGTACGATTCCTTTTTTTGCACACATTTT